TCAGGAAAAGAAAGTTTGGGACTTGATGTAACTTGGTTTGCAGTGGATTGAGATCTGACTTCTTTGGAGGCCAAAGCCAATACTTGAGTTAAATACACAACGACGTTCTGCTTGCAAAAAAGACCGTGAGCTTCCAGTTGCCTGCCACTTTAAGACACCACCCACCACCCTTTTCCCTGGCCAATATCTCTGTCTCTGGCTTGCTGCAGTGTTCCAGTGAAACTCAGCACAAACTGGAAGAACAACACCTCATTTTCTGCTTGGGGTCCCTGCAGCCCTCCGGACTCAATATTGAGTTCAATAATTTTAGAGCCTAAACTCTCCCATGTCCTAGCCCCCTACACCACACACCAGGCCTTGTTATCACATAGCCTGCCATTACACACTACCTATTGTTGGTCACTAACAGTCCCCATTAACAGCTATTCACCCTCCCAGCCAGATTGTTATTGCTGTTCTCTCTCTTCGGGCTCTATTCTTTATCCTATCATTTAGTCCCTACCCCAACCTCTCCCCTATTTTCTGCATATAAACTGATGTTTTCCCAGCTACCACCAGTTCTGTGAAAAGGTCACCAGACCTGAAACGTTAACTCTGATTTTTATTCTTCACATGCTGCCAGACCTGCTGATCTTTCCCAGCAACTTCTGTTTTTGTTCCTGATTTACAGCATTGACAGTTCTTTCAGTTTTTGCCTGCGTTATATAGCTGGATATCTACCAGCTGTTGACCAGAAAATCGATGGAATGTCAGTTTGGAGGAAGTTCTAATTTTTCATTGAATCATATGAGTTAAAATCGTTTCCTTTCACTTTAGGGTATGCTGTATAAACAACTTTTTTTATTTTCTAGGGAGAAAATGCTGGCAAAGAAATACTACGATAAATTATTCAAAGAATATTGTATAGCTGATTTAAGCAGATACAAGTGCAATAAGGTAAGGATATGAAAAATGTGGCACTTCTATTTATAAATATACATGGGTTGAAAATGTTCATTTGAAGATTATAATGGCTTGGATTTTGCAATCGAATAATGGTGAAACTGTGGTTCAATATAGACTATTCAGACTATTTAATTAAGGAACAAACAAAATTCTGAAAGACGCTGGAAATCTGAATATGCTCAGTTGGTCTGGCAACATTTGTGGAGAAAGAAAGGGTTAATGTATCCTTTACCTGCCAATTACCTACCTTGTTCACACATAACCCAGTGGAGGGTGCCACATGTATGACACTGCAGTCACAGCCTGTAGAGTCTTTGGCTATGTATAATGGTTGATGGGCTTCATTTGTTCACAGGTAACCTCAAAATGCAAGCCAATCAGATGATAACTGGAAACAAAATCGAATATTGAAGAGCTTTAGATATTTAGAAAGATCAGGAAGCCAGGAAATGGTAGAAAGATGGCTCTGTTAATGAATTATTGTATTAGCACAATAAAGATGGATGTCCTAAGTTCAGAAAACCAGAATGTAGAAGCATTTTGGTTGAGCTGAGAAATGGTAAAGGCAAGAAGTCATGTGGGAATAATGAATTGAGTCCAAATAGTAACCATGCGGTTGGAGTGTAAAGGAAAAAATAAATGGAAACTTGTCAGAAAGATACTCTGATAATCGTGGAGGATTTTGATCTACATATGGGCTGGAAAAATCAGGTGGGAGTGAACTGGCAAATTAGGTTAAGGGTTAAGTCAATAGAAATCCAATAGCAGACGTTTAACGGGATGTTTCAGATTACACCTAGAATAGATACATTTTGACAAGAAAGAAAAGTCCAAAGGAAGGACCCACTATACATGGTGTTGACTTGGCGGGGTCCTGATCTGTTACCTAATATAGCAGTCAACAATTTTAGCAATTTTCTAATAGTTTATTGAGAAGCAGTAGTTCATACGGTACATTAGTTAATTAGGTACATATAAAAAAGAAATATATGACCCAAGTCAAATAAAAACGCTTCACCCATTCAGTGTGAAGTGGAGTAGAAACAGCACACTCTCACGTCCCAGATATCTTGCAGTCTTTCACGGTGTTATGGGTAAATTACCACAAGCTATCTTTAATTTAGCTAATTATGAAGAAATCTCATAGACAATCTCATACTGAAATAGTTCCTTTAACTTTTTTGCATGTAGCAACCAAAATAAGACCCCTCAAGGAAACGAATTAAGCCTCACAACTCAACTTGGCTATTATCAGATTAATCGTGGAATTTAGCTGCAATTCCAGCTAACAGTGTCTATCTCTGGATGTGTCCAGGTTTTGATCCTTATGCAGTGTTCTCTGGAGATTTGCTTCTGATGAATCCTGGAGTTCTTTCTCTCTTTGCAACTTTCTCTCTTTCATGTTTATTGTATGACATTATTGATGATTCTTTAGATTCATTCATTCACAATATTAACCATCAAGTTTGCAACTTGCCTTCTTATCAAAAGTTGCTTCCCTGTTCCTTGTTACGTTTGAGATTGACTGTCTATTTGAAGACACAGTTTTCCTGCAACAAACTCCTTGAATTCTTCTGCAGGGCAATTATTTGTCCTTGTGGCATAAGATAGCCATTTATCAAGCAGTTACTAAACAGTTCAGTTTATGTAGCTTCAACTCCTTCTTCTTACAGATATGGCTAATTGCTTTGAATTCCTGTGTAACTGTTTGCCCTTTTCACTTAACAGTTTCTTCCAGACAGAGTTATTATGCTTCTTTCAATCCATGAACAATTATTAAAGTTCTGAAGTTTACAGTATCACAATGGTAGTCTTTAGTAACATCTGTCTTTGTTTTCCCTCGGGCTGATGTAGGGCGACTCCTGATCTCCCTTCAAGATCTCTCTCCCCACTTAAACCTGTTGATGTACCTTATGTTTGGCCCAGCCGTCTCTGCTGTGCCAATAACCTGTCCAAACTCTCTTGGCTAATGACTGGTGATACCAGGATGACCGTTGTCCCATTGTCCACCTCCATTTGAAGGTTATTTTTCATTTCTTCTAAGATCAAACCTTTTTTTTCTGAAACATGGCTGCTCATAATAGGGTAGTGTGGCCCCTGATAAATCTTGTTTACACTTACATAAGGCTAATTACTAACATAATACAATTAAAAGCTACACAGGTGACACAAATATGGAATACTAAGTGAACATAGGTTTAAAGACAGCCCCAATTTCCAACATTTTGGCAGGAAGAGCAAAAAAGGAGTGAATTGTCGAAATGGTGAGAGTTTGGAGAGCATGAAGATGCAGAGGTATCTGGGTGCCCTACTGCATGAATCATAGAATGTTTATTACGCAGGTACAGCAAGTAATTCAGCTAATAGAATGTTATTATTTATTGCAAAGAGAATTGAATACAATAGTATGGAGGCTATACTTCACTTATACAGTGCATTGGTGAGATCATATGTGGAGTACAATGTTTCCTTGTTTAAGCAAGGATGTAGTTATTTGGCCCCCGTCCAGAAAAGGTTTACTGGACTAACACCTGGAATGGGCGCATGTTCTTACGAGGAAAGATGATTCAGGCTATGCCTGTATTTGCTGGAGTTTAGAAGAATGAGGTGACTTGGTTGAAACATATAGAATTGTAAAGGACCTTGAAAGAGTGGCAGTATTTGTGGGACAATCTAGAACCATGTGTTATTGTTTCTAAAAATAAGGAGTTGCCCATCTAAGGCAGATGATAATTTTTTTGTTCCAGAGTGTGACATAAGTATTTGGGAACTCCTGTTCAAAAGGCAGTGGACGAAGAGTCTAAATATTTTGCAGGCAGTTTGTTCTTTTTATGAAGGTCTAGATAATAGTACGTTACAATTTACTAGTTTCAATTTCTTCTCTGACAGTTTGGATTTCGGTGGCGAGTGGATAAAGAAGTGATTTCAGGGAAAGGTAATGTTTCTGTCATGTTAAAACAAACATTCCAGCTGGCTGATACGGTGGGTTAGAGACTGACCCAAATTCTGATTCAGATATAGAATTTAGAAAGCTCGTTGACCAAATCATGAGCTGGGTAACCATTTGCAAAACCACTCCATTTAAACTGCAAACACAACCTTGAGCTTGTCTTTTTAATTCACCACTTTATGCCCACCTCACTTTTCAGTTTATGGCCTGTCAGTGATCAGTTGCAGCAGCTCAGTACAAGCTTGAAAAGCAGCACCCTTTTTTGTCTGAGTATTCAGTAGCTTTCTGGATGTAATATTGAGTTATTTTCTTTCTTTATTCATTCATGGGATGAGGGCATTGCTGGCTAGGGCGCATTTATTGCCCATCCCTAATTCGATCATAACCTCTGCCTCTATCTTATTCTGGGTTCTTTTTAAAGGTGTGTTTTCTCCTTCATGTTGCTGCATTCATGTCCCACCTGGATACAATTTTTGTTTCTTTACTGAATCCATTATCACACTCTTTAATTTTTGCATCAGGAATTCCTCTAGTATTTTAATGTTCCTTGCCCTTTACCGTATCTCACACCATCATTTTTTCTCCTTCTGTCCACTCCTGCTTCAACTACTTAAAAACTGTCACATTTGTATTTTCTCTCTGTCCTGATGAAAGGCCATCAACCATCAATGTTAACTCTGTCTCTCTCCGCAGATGCTGCCTGACGCATTGGATATTTCAGATTTCCAAAAGTGCATGAGTTTGTTTTTATTTGACCCTGCAGACTTTATGAACATTCACACATTCTGCATATGGAACAAGAAACAATCTCCTAGTGTACCGCAAACAATGTAAAGGGGCCACATATTGGCAGAGCTATACTTCTCCACTGTAGAAGTTCTTAAGAAGCTAAACAGAGAGTATTTCTGATCTATCAGACAGTGGATATGTTGCACAAATGCTTAGTTCAATGCACCTCATATCTATTTACTTTACTGTTAAAACCAGTGCTGCTTTTAGTGTGCTCAACTCGACTAACTTGTTTTTGATTTACAGAAGTGTTCCTTTTTATATTTGGGGTAACTCAATTGTGTGGTGTTTCCAAAAATTAAGAGCCATAATAAGTAGTGAAATGAGTTTATATCACTGCATTTATTTTATACGCTTTGCAATTTTGCAAGTCCAAAATTCTTAAATTTGCATAGTTTTTTTTTAAAAAGACACCAGCCTGATATCACATTGTTTGATTAATCCTCCGTTTGCATTTTCTTAAAGTGGCTACACAACTTGAACTTATTATTTCAGTAAACTTGGGAAGTTTAATGGTGATCTTGCCTATTCAGTAGTTTGGGGACAACTCCACGATATTAAAGTCAATGATAAACCTAACAGGAAATTGAAATTGCATTGGCTGTAGTTCTTAGACTAGAATTCAAGATTTACAGCAGAGGCTTGAGACGTTTGAGGACAAGCACAAGCAATTAATTGGCAGCTTGCACTTTATATAAATATGGTAAAGTCAAACTGGTGCAAATTGAATTCAGAGGGTTACAGGAGCATGATCACATGATCTGCCAAATATTATTAAATAAATGCTTAAGCTTAAACTAGAAATTAGTAATATTTATTTAATCAGTACAGGTTTTGTTCTGGGCTATAAAAATCGAGTTTCTTAATGATTCATTCATGTACTTCTACAAATTTACACAAAAAACTGAATGACCATAATTTCTAGAGCATCTAAACAATGGGGATTTGCATAATGAAATTAATGCCACGTGTTTTAAAATGGATGTTCTGGCAATTGTTTCAGATACACTATCAAAAAATAGCTGATAGTTTTCAGTCATGGAAACAACATGCAATTTTTTTTCAAATTTTTCACTGTCATTGTAATTTTCTAAACTAAAACACCAATATTGATACTGTCTCATGCCTAAAAGAAGAAACAACAAAGAATCAGAAGTTATAGTATTTCTGTGGTTGAGTTAATTTTATTTTCCCCTGTCAGGTCAGTTTTGCTGTGGTAACAAGCACTGTGACGAGAAAGAAGGACTGAAAAGTTGGGAGGTTAATTTTGGTTATATAGAACATGGGGAGAAAAGAAATGCCCTTGTGAAACTGAGTAAGTCACATCTTTATCACTTTGTTCCTACACTTGGATGTGTCAAAGTTTATTTGTCTAGTTTGAGATCTAGGAAAATATCTGTTGCTGATCAGCTAACTGTCTGCTCTTTCCAATTATAATTTGGTGATTTACTTTTTTTTTAATTTGTTTTAAATTGCAAAAACGTGTGACTTTGACTGCCGGTACAAGGAAAAGATTATCAATGTGGCCTTGCTTGCCTTCTAATTTCATATGAATTGTAAGACAATAGATAACATTACATGTTAAGAGCATAAGGGCCATTTAGTCAACCCACGTAGGTTGAATTTTGTTATTTTCTGTTTGACAATAATGTCACATCTTTCTTAAGTTATATTTTAACTGAATATTACATTTCCTTCATAGGATTGTGTCCAGAATGCTCCTATAAATTAAACTATCACCACAGGTAATATAATTTATTTTACGGTATTACTTAAAATAAAACAAATTAAGATACATAGTAATTGCATTATAATCGTACTGTTTACGGATTGCCAAAGTTGATAACTTTTACATAACCACATCAACTGAAATGACTGTAAACACTTATTTATACATCCTATCTCAAATCCGTGTTTGTGTATGTAAGTAAAAACATAAAATGCTATCTATGTAATAAATTAAAATTGTTACATAGGCTGGCATGATTAATTGAATCTCCTGCCAGTGCATTTGAATAGGAATTTGGAACCAATGACATTGATATAGTCAGTGCATGTACTCACATGGCACTGGAGCTGGAATCAGAAGTAGCGTACCGTTGTTGCTGCCTTTCCCTCTCAGCCCAGTACCAGTGTGATGCCAAGCATGAAGGTCAAATGTCTAAAAACTGGTAGATTGCCGCTTCACTGTTCACAGTAAGCAACGTGCTGACCATACACACTCTGCCTGTGATTGCAAACCTCAAAACGCAATGTCTGACATTAGATGGGATTCGATAATTCAGCAACATTTACTGATAAAATCCTAATAATAATATAATTTAACTTTGTTATTTGGGCTTGCACTTTCCTGGATTTATGTAGACGAGAAGCCTCATGTATAAGTATGCAAAGAAAATGGACACACATTGTGCCTGTTTCAGCTCAATAAAACATGCAACAGCCATTCTCTGGTTCATTTCTCAGGCCAGTGCTTTGACAATGTGAGTCAACTGGCCTGGATTTAATTTAAATAAAGTTTGGCAGTTAACTGTCAGTCATCATCTAATTGGTGCATTCTCTATGGCAGCATCTCTAACAGTCAGAGTCCACTTGGAGAACAATCAGGCCACCGATATCATAAAGTATTAAAAATGTTTGTTTTCCCTTTGCATGAGTGCTTCTTGCAAATTGTGCAGGTGAATGCAAAACAAAAACCTTCAAATTCCGTCTTTTTCTGCAATACTCAAGTTTTCTACTGCTGCAGACCTATAACTAAAATTTCTAATGTACAAAATGTTCTTTTTAATCAATAGGATGTTTCACAATGTAATTGTACTTTCTCATTGAATGTCTTTTACTATATAATTAAAGTTTTTGCTTTGTGCTTAAGTCTTTCCCCCAAACTTGAAGTGTGACCTGATATTTTTTTCACTACTTGCGACTTCTTACTGAATGCAAATTATGAACTTTGATGATTTGTAATGATTCAGATTTCCCAAGTAGTTTTTAGACTGTTAAGCTGCTGGGATTTTTTTAACTTTGTAGCAGCAACTGCTCATTTTAAAATAATATAGTAAAAGCTGCCTGTCAGGCCTTTTGTCTTTTGCCTTGCTCCTAATTATCCTACAAATCCCTGATGGTCTGCATCTGCTTTTGTATTCTTCCTATTGAGCATCGGAATGTTCTCTTGATTTGTCAGTTGCAATGCTATACCCATTTATGTTTCCATCTAATACTTTTTCCTGCCATAGTCCCATCTCTCTAAATTAAAGTTGATTGTTTGGTAAGACTGACATAAACATTGCTGAAAAGTGAAATGAAGTTGAAATGTTTCATCTTGCACTCGTCAGGATTGAAATGCAAGAAAACCATCTTTCACAAAGAAACAAGAATTTATACATTTAAGAAAAGGGTCCTGATTGGTTGGACTGTAATTGGCATGGAGTTACATCAGGAATTGTTAACTGATTCTAAGTTAATTGATTAAATTCAAACCAGGCAAGTCAACTCTAATTGGTCAGGTATTGCCGGGGGTTGCAACAAGGATTGACTGTTTCCATCGCTCTTTCCTCAGTGAAAAAGTTGCAATGTGTGGACATATTCTTTCTGCCTACAAAGAACAGAACTGTGTGTGAGAATAAATTTAGTTTTCCCTTCATATATGTAAAATATGAGATGTTTTTACAATTTAATATTACTGTATTACTAAAATCTGATGAAGGAGGAAAGAAGTGAAAGCAGTAAAAAGGAAACATCGAGAGGAGGAACACCACCATGACATCCCAGCAGAAAAAAGAACCAAGACCACAGAGAAGCATAGTTGTAAAAGCAAGGGTAGGTGACAAGAAAATAATCCTTTGTTTAACAAAATATTGCAAAAAAACACAGTATAATTGGAATTTTAGATGGGGAGTGCCATCTGCAGACATTTTCCATACTGGGGACAGAACTGCCGCAAGCAATTTGCTGTCCGCAGATGTATCAAACTGCTGACAGATTTATTGTCCAGCCGAGTTAGTACCTTCATTCACATTCTTATGCAGTGGTAATTTGATGGATTGCCAAGAGTCCAGGAGAATTAATATCCATGGAGCTACCTGATTTAAAGGCACAGTGCTGTGGTTTACATGAGCAAAACGGACGTTGATTCCAATAGAAACATGTTGTCGATCAGTAACACTATTACCCTAGATCAGTTTAGGTTCCCAGGCAGCAGTCTTGCAAATTCATTTTGGGACTGTGCTCGGCTTATTTGAAGGCAAATGGAAACTGCAAAGAAATCAAGGTTACTCACTTCTAATGACAACCTTGTAGCAGTCACTGATGGATGCAGCATCCAGACGTAGCAAAGTCCATGCAATTACAAGGATTAATATAAAACATAGGACTATTAAAGCATCTCCTTCAGGGAACGTCAGATCATGAATAACAGTTCAGAGTGGGATTAAAGATCTCATCTCTAGGTTGAGAAACTGCAATACTTCCTTAATGTAGTTAGACGCTTTGCCCTCCATTTCTTCAAATTTACTGGTTACCAATTGTTGTTTTGTTTATATTTACAGGAAAATCCAGCCTAACAGAAAACTTTGATTCTGACCAAGGTAATTTTTCATAAACAATGCCTGCTCTGGCGCAATGATACCTGTGGCTGTTTATGGTTTTAGTATATAACTTAAAGCATTTAATCTTCTCAGATATCATTTTGTGGCTGCTATTTGCATATATAGAAGTAAATTGATTTCAACAGAGTAAAAGTAAAATACTGAGAAAGCTTTTACCATTACAGCAAACTCCTTGCTTGCCTAGCTGATTGTTTCCAGCATTTTATTTTTGGTTCAATTGAACCTTGTAAAGGTTCAATCTATTAAAGTATTTTGAGTATGGAACACCAGCTTTGGTTCATTGGTAGCAGACTCTGATCTGATTTGGAAGGTTATGAATTGAAGCGAAGTCCTACTGCATGATTTAAGCACATAATTTACCATTACCAGGATTTCTCCTGATGTTCTGACCAGCACTTACCCTGGAATTAACATTTACAAAAATAATTAACTGGCCCTTTGTATTGCTGTTTGTGGGGCCTTACTATGCACAGCCTGACTGCCATGCCAGCTTACGTAACAGTGACAACACTTCCGAAGTATTCCACTGATTGAGTTGATTTGGGAAAATCTGAAAAATAATGGGAGCCGTTTCAATGCAAACGGTTTCTTTCAGGTCAGTCCTAACCATCGGTATTTTACTTTTACAAATGTGTGGAAAAATTTGAAGTATTTTGGCTTGTGTCTGTTGGTTAGTCCTTTATAACCGGTCACGTTTCATAAGCAGCTTTCAAAGGGCTTCAGTTAAAATTCTTGTATGATGTGTAAATCCGTCCAATATTTCCTTTGGCCTGTGCGTTTTTCTCCCCTTTTTCTCAAACCATCTGACGTTTTCTTTATTGGCCTTTTCGCTGACTTTATGAATATTTTTAATCTTTGGCTATCTTACCAGTAACTGACTGAGATGATATCTGTGTTACGACACAGGCAGACAGCTGAACCAAATTAGCCTTTCTACCTTTGTGTTCATAATACAGTAAAATTAAAACTGTCAAAGACCTTCAATAGTTTCTCCAGTGATTCCTAAACAGACTTTTGAAAAACCGATCCCAGATTTGGTGAATAATTAATTCCAGACACCAGTTTTATATCTTAAAAGGCTTAAAATTTATTAAAAAAGCAATAACTTTAGCAGAGAAAAATTAAAGAACAAGGTATTTTGATTAATGTCTGTGTTTTTAAAACTGAAATGTTTGTTTTCAGCCCCATTCATACGACAGATGTACAGACAAATGAACACAGTTAAGGGATAAACAAAACTGGCCAAATTACTTAAATGTTTTTCAGGATGCATTGTTTACATGTATAGATGTCACCTCCTTGGCCACTTTTCTGAAAAGTTTGAGGAAGTTTTCAAACCTACATGATGCGTCACTAGCACCCAAGCCTCAGAAAACACAGTTCAGACAGTCAACTTCAATTCTGGTCATGCCCCTGCTAGACTGACTGCCTCTTCCGGAGGCCTCAGTTACCATTCAACATTTGCTATCTTCTTGAACATAGATTCTCTTCCAGACTTGCTTGAACCAATTTCCAAATACTGACGTCGCTAAAAGCCAACTTCTGCTGTCTGTTTAATCATAATGCTCTTTCCAAGATCACAGTTTGTAGAAACCCTTTTAATCAAGAATTAGCCTGAAATTAACCTCCATGCCTGGCCTTACATGTTTAGTCTGTTCTTTTCCTTTTGCCACAAGCTGTTTCCCCAAGTCCACAAGTCCTCGTCTGCTCCAAACCAAAACTGATAAAGAATAAAAATAATGAAAAGTCAGCGAGAGTTCTAAGATGTGCATAACATAAAATAAATCCTTGCTGTTCTGTTAGATCTATTCACTTTTGTCTGTGTTCAGCCTATTTTTGTTTCTTCTACTGTTGTTCTTCACTCCTGCTTCTCTTCCCTTTCCTGCTTAGTAGCAATATGGATACAAAATTGGCTGAGGGATAGAATAGAGCGAGAAATGGTTAATGGTTAACTCAACTTATTGGAATTTAAAAGAATGACAGGTGATCTCATTGATACGGGGTTCTTAAAGGGTTTGACAGGGTAAATGTGTAGAGGATGCTACCCCTCATGGGAGAATCGAGGACAACAGGACATAGTCTCAGAATTTAGGGGTGACAATTTTAAAACTGAGATAAGGAGGAATTTATTCTCTTAAGGCTGAGAGACTTTGGAAATCTTGCCCACAGAGATCTGTGGGGATAGAGTTCATGTTTGAGGCTGTTATAGATTATTGATCAGTACGGGAAGGCAACGGCCTAATGGTATTATCACTGGACTGTTAATCCAGAGACCCAGATAAAGTTCTAGGGACCCAGGTTCACGTCCCGCCACGGCAAATGGTGGACTTTGAATTCAATAAAATATCTGGAATTAAGAGTCTAAATGATGACCATGATCTGATTGTCGATTGTTGAAAAAACCCATCTGGTTCACTAATATCCTTTAGGGAAAGAAATCTGTCATCCTTACTTGGTCTGGCCTACATGTGACCACGTAAAGTAATTTGGTTGACTCTCAACTGCCCTCTGGGCAATTAGGGATGGGCAATAAATGATGCCTGGTCAGCGACACCCTCATCCGATGAATGAATAAAGAAAAAAAGTGAATCAAGGGTTATAAGGAAAGTACATGAAAGTGGACAGAAGGAGTGTCAGATCAACTACATTACTATTGAATGGCAGAGCAGACTCGAGGAGCTGAATGGCCTACTCCTGTTCATATTTCTCATGGTCTTATGAATATTTTTTGGGATGAGAAAAAGGTTTGTAGTGGAGTTTCCCAGTGGTCAGCATCGGAACACTTGCTTTTCCTTATGTATATAACTGAACTAGACATTGGTATTCGGGGCACAATTTCAATGTTGGCAGTTAGCACAAGGGCATTGACAAGTTGGTGGAGTGAGCAGATAGAGCTGAGTGTGGAGAAATGTGAGCAGACATGGTGAAAAGTATAAAGTGTACTATTTTAAATGGTTTGAGGAAGTAGAGAGATCTTGGTGTGTATAAATCATCGAAGATCGCAGGAAAGTTTGAGAGAGTTGATAATAAAACATACAGTATTCTGGTTTAGTATATAGAACTTTTTTTTTTCTTTATTCATCACTTCACCACATCAGTCAGAAAAACACCCTTTCACTGCTACTTGCTCTCTTCTATGATCAAGCCACTTCTATTTCAATCTTACCAGCTCACCAAGGATCCCATGTGACTTCATTTTCTCTATCAGTCTGCCATGAAGTACCTTGTCAAAGGTACCTCGCTAAAGTCCATGTAGACAATATCCACTGTCCTGTCCTCATCGATCATCTTCGTCTCCTGACCGAAAAACTCCACTACGTTATGCACTGTTTACCTCTCCTCTGTTCCCGATCACTCCTTTCCCCATTCTTTGTCTCCCTGTCTCCCCACTCCCTACCTCTCCTTCACCCCTTCTGCATCTACACCCTCCCCCATTCTCCCTGTCTCCTGCCCCTTTCACTGCCCCTTATTCAGCCTTCCTAAGATAAGGGTGGCATTGCTACAGCACCATCACATGGCTACTCTGAAACATCATGGTATTTCATGAACTTGGTTTGCAGTACAGTATTGAAGCCCGTAGTTTTAATTAACAATCCTGCGGGAAGTTTGAAAATACACATCTGTTTATGATGCTACCTGCAAGCCGGTCTGGACTGAACGCAGCAGTTGTAAGTTTTACAGTGTTTTCCATACAGCCTGCACGTTAACTTTCAATGCATTCTCAGGTAAAATGTTTTGGTTCAGTGCAGTTTCTAGTACAATTTGTGACAGTAAACATTCTGCTAGAATTGTTCCATTTATATTCAAACCAGTTGCTACCGAATAAAGTTATCTTATTAATAAAGAGCTTTAGCAGTTCTTCAGAATGGAGAATATATAATTTTGTAACAAGTATCTTTGCAAACCCACTTAATTAGATCAAGTGTTCAATCGAGGTGTGGTTTTCTTTAAGCAAACTTGCATTTGATGTACTTCCTGTGCTTTCACACTGAATTGGGTTTTCAGTTTTGTTCCCCTGTTATATCAGACTGATTGTAGTTGTGATCTTGATACAATACTTTAACGTTTGCTTCTTCTGAGCATGTGGATGCCACTAAAAAAAGTTTCATAACATTCTGCTACATTAGGAACTAGTCATTTACGACACAAGGTCATTCACACCTTAAGACTATACTAGGTCTTTGCAGAGCAATCCAGTCAGACTCTGTAGTTCTGAAAATTTAATTCCTTCAAATGTCCATCCAATTTCTTGTTTGATTGTTTCTGCTTCCACAACCCTCATGCACAGGGAATTCTCAATCGTTACTGTTCGCTGAGTAAAAATGTTCTTCCTCTCATAACTCCCTACCCCCTGCATTCCTCACCTAAAGCCTTAACATTACATCATCTTGTCCTTGTATCTTTCCTTTTCTACCTTATCCAAACTTGTCGTCATCTTGCTCGCTTTTACCAAACCTCCTTCAATCTCCTTGCGCCAAGTAGAGCAACTCTGTCTTCTCTGACCTAACTTTGTTGCTAAAATCAATCCTTCATCCCTGGAATAATTCTGGTGAATCTCCTCTACCCTTCTATCCTTCACGAGTTAAATTTCTTCAAGTACCTATTGATTTTATTACGCTCTGATTAGTATTTCTAAACTCTTACCCATGATTTATGTCTTGTATTTGGCGTGTAGCTGTCGTGACTATCCTAAAACTTTTTATTAAATATAAGTGTCACATTTTGCCATACTTAATCCTCTGGCATTTCTTCCATGCTTAGGGAAGATTAGAATGTTATGTCAGGTTCTTCCACTATCTCAATCCCTCCCTCCTTTGCCAATATGGGATTTATCCACTCTAAGCATAGTCAGCCCTTTTCTAGTAGATCCTACCTGTCAATTTCACCTAATCTATTATCTGTGCCATAACTGCTTCCACTGATATTGTATCAACTTCCTCTTCCTTAGCAAACACGGATGCAGAGTACTTATTTCCAATACTTTTTCATTTATTTGGAATGTTTTTCTTGATATGTTATTGAACTGTGACCACTGTTTGTTATGGCACTTATTTATGAAATATAATTGTTAATTCAGAACCAGAAGATAAACCAGATGCAGATGACCCCTCAGAGGCTGAATACTGGAAGGGGCCAGCTCAGGATTTTGAAACTAAGACCAGGTATCTTTATGTATCTAAATTATTATATATATTAAAAGCTAGGAACTGTCATTAACATTGCATTCCAAATTCTGCTATCGTCTATCTACAAAATAATACTGTTATAAAAATCACAGTGGCTGTACTAATTAAAAAGGATGTGAGCTATGTAACAGGGCAGATTCATTACATCACGAATTGCCCCGTAAAGCAGATGAAATGATGCTCATGCAAAAACATGCTATTAATCCCTGATACTTATTGTCCAACCTTATGGATTGTGGCCTCAGATTGTGTTTGTTTTTCTTCATTCATTGCGTAGTGCCCTTGATTTTAGTGAATCTGTGCTTCCAAGAAAAGTAGATAATTCTAATGCAATGTTTAACATTGTGCCAGACACAGGTGGCTGAATATTCTTCTTCTAAAGCAAAATTTCACCTGTCAGACCATAAGACGTAGAAACAGAA